TCTGCAGGTTATCTCTGAAGCTTGCCATATCTTGGCTGGTATCAAAGAGTTGATTGCCACAGGGAAGGAATCTGTGATTCCATATCTTGATGGAGCAGAGCAGTGCAAAACCAGTCTCAGGAGGGAACACTGAGTTTAGATGGCACAGTGCTTCTCTGAGTGAGATTTGACCGTGTGCTGGGCTGCTTGTTTCTCTCCAAATTTCTTTATTATTTGAGAAGATGGTATTTCACTGATCTGTTCTAATTGTGGGCTGCAGCAGCTTTACAAGGGTGATCCAGAGCTGTCCTGACCCTTTCTGTGACCAGCACTGAGTCTTGCTGAGCACGCAGTGACTTGGAGTAGGAAACCACCTCTGCCTGAAAACTAAACTACAAGAGAAGTCTCTCCACCATCTAGCCCTAATGCAGGGAATGGGTCGAGAAGGCAAAAAGATAATGCCTCTATCGGCTCTAACTGCTGATCAAACAGCAGCCTGGCATCATCTCTGCGCGACAAGGGCCTTGCGTGGTTCCACGAGGCTGTGCCTTACCCCTGGAGCAATGTGTTTAGCACGTCCTCTGAGGTACCAGGCTTATGCTGGCGTGGCAACTGCAGGACGGGCTGCACTCACAGCATCATAAAATAATCCAAGACCAGGTTAATGGCTGCTGGAATCCTAATACTTATCTCTCTGGTTCAAGGTACTCATAAAACTTGAGAAAAAATGGTAGAATATAAATCCTGTAGGCGTTGCTTTGCTTACTGTGATTACATTTATCAGACTCTGGTGACATACTGTGAACCTAAATGCTTTCAAAAAATCTAAGTGCTCCCGCAGCCTCAGTGAGATTTTCAACATTGAACTCCCAAAGTACTATTTAGCTGCTGTGACAGCTTCAGTCCTCACAGTGATACTTCAAAGTGCAGGTGCAAAGTGTTTTTCTTTTAGAAGCTGCATTAAATGCAGCTAGTGGTATAAAAAAGATGCTAGTGGCATAAGCAGAATTTAAAACTGTACAGGTATAATGCTTTTTGTCTCCGCACCACCTTTTCTTCAGAAATAAATGCTAGGAATGTTCATGAAAATAAATAAAGTATAAATCCAGTACAGCATAATTACTAAGACTAAAGGTACCATCAGAGCTTTGGACATTGGAGAAGTTACTGTCTTACATGTGGTTTTAAAGTTCATATGGAATTTATCCCATCTAAAGAGCTGATGTGTTCCCCATACAAGAAAATGTATTCCTGGCTGTCTTAACTGTCAGCTGTGGTGGTCCTAGGGTGACATGGACTTAGTGGATGATAAATACGCTCAAAGACACCAAAAGTTTGATATTCACTTAGGCCTCATCTCTTGATACTCTAGTCGTACTAGCCAAGTCTCCTATCATTGTGCCAAGCATCCTTTGAAAAGCCCTAATGAGGATGGAAATTAATTCCTCGCCCTTAACACAAACTTTTCCCTCATCTGTCTCTGAGACACTTGTATTTCTCATTTTCCTGACTCTCATGTAACCTTTGGTTTTAAACTTGGAGAAAGGAATTGCATCACTTACTGATACGGCAGTAGGTGCCAAGCTTTACTGAACTAGCAGTGATTTGTTATTTAGTGGGTATGTACAGAAACACAAGAAATCCCGCAGTCAAACTAAGGAGTCGGTGGTGATTTACTGTAAGTTAGGGCAGCTTTAAAGGAAGGATGGAAGGCATTTCATTTCCTTATTTTTGCAATAGCCCTTTCTCTTAGTAGCTTTTCTTGTTACCTTCGAACTCTCATTTCCTCTACTAACAAATTCCACCTCTTGGCATCGTTTCTATTTGTTTTGTCTGTGTACTGGGTACCGTATCCCAATGTGCAGTGCTTTAGCACTTGCCTGCCGTGTGCTCACTCTGCATATTTTCAAGCCTATTTTTTTCTCTCTGTCTAAGAATAAGTCTGCATCCTTCCCCTTCCTATTGCTCTTACTGGTGTGCTGAACTTGGGCATTTGATATCTTCTCAGACTTTAGAAATAATTATTTTCCCTGGAAGAGGTATAAGGAGGGATCTGTAGGGGACTGTGTATGGTTGTCATTCACAGCTTTCATAGTTTGGCCCGAGTTCCTGGTGAGCGAGTGAATTGCTGTTTGTAGCGCTTTTTATTTACCGATGGTCACTTTTATTACTATGAAGGTGGAGGCTTTCAAAAGCACAGCATGCCATCCAGGATAAACTACTTGTCAGGTAGAATGGTTACAAATAACTTTTGAAAGGAATTTTAAGGCTAAGTAAGCATGAATGCTGGCTGCTTGGTGTCTGTGCAAGCACACCTCTGGGGCTGACAAGCAGTATGGTTCTGAGATAGCGACAGAGTGCCTCATAGGCAGCGAAACTCCTTTTTAAATATTAGCCTGGTTCAAATCATCTAGGAATTTACCGAGCAGAAGGAAAAGCAAGATATAAACACAGCAAAAAAAATGGATTTGCTAGTTTGAAATAAATCTTTGTTGTTATCTAAAATAGTGCTGCCTGTTAAAATATCGTAGAATCATAGAATGGTTTGGGTTGGAAAGGACCTTAAAGATCATCTAGTTCCAACCTCCCTGCCATGGGCAGGGACACCTTCCCTTTTATCTTTATTGAGTTTTTACTGGTTCGAATTGGAAAATCTTTTTAATGCTAAGCATCTGATTAGCTTTTTCATTTATTTGTACTGTAAAATATTTTCTTATCTTTGCATCCCTAGAATGTATTTTTCTAGTTCTGCAAGTTAACATTTGAAGCTTTAACTCTAAACCATTTGAAATGAGTGTTTACTACAGAAATTTCATGTGACAGCTTAATTAACTGTGGATTCTTGACCTTTAAAGTGCTGGAGCTAGAAACGTTTAATAACCAGCCATTGGATATAAAGTAATATGCTTGTCGTTTTACTAGCTTGCATACATGGCAGTTTGAAGCAAAGTCCAAGGGTCACCAAAATCGTGAAGTACACCGAAGCGAGTCAATCTGAACTATGTATTTCAAAGCGTCGTACGAATGTGTCACACAGTATGTATGTACGAGTGAAGGCTACCGGATTACACACAAGGTATTTTTATGCGAGGTGCGGATTACAATTTCTCTGAAAGCTTCTGTGATCTGGAGCCTACGAGGTGGGAGTGTAATTCAGGGCAATTACTGTGCTGCGAGGCCTTAAACAAGCAAGTGTGTGTGTACACAACCAAAGTATCGACCCACATGGACTCGTTGAGAGCAGCAAAGCCCTGAGCAGAAGTTTGCTATCTCAGCAAGTCCTTTCCATCAGCTTAAAGGAGGCCATCGATGTCCTTGACAGAAGAGAGGATCGCTGGAGCTGACCACCCGGCACCATCTTCAACTGAGTGGGTACCAAGGGCTTTGAGGGGGTAACTGCATGTGGGAAGGACCAGGGAGATGTATGGGTGGAGGTGGTGGGCAGGGATTACTGGTGGAGATGAAGCACTGGTAGGATTGAAACTGTAGAGAGCAAGTATGGTCACAGGCAGCGGAAACAGTACCGAAACATGAGGTCAGTCCCTCCCTGCTGAGCCGAGGACGGCAGTTGTGTGGGTATCTAACCCTACTTCAGATCAGCAAGTGACGCTGTACATCTGAGTGTAAGCTCCTGTGCAGGGGGTGGTCTGTTTGCCCCAGTGCTCCTGGGGCTGATCCTCGCTGTGTCTGAGCCGCAGGTACCTTCTGCGGGTGCCCGGGCAGGGCAGTGACAGCAGCGCAGTCCCCGGCCCCGGGCTGGCTGCCGCAGTGTTTCTCCCAACTGCCGGAGTCCAGAGCTGTCGCAGCAGTGAGCGCCGGAAAGACAGTCCCTAAACTGGCATGATAATTTTGCAAGGTTATTTAAGCCAGATCAGTTACGTGAGGCTTCAGGTTTTGCCAATAAGTTGTCGTGCCTGGAGTTTCCAGTCCTGCAGTAAGAGAGGCTTCGGAAAGCCAGATTACGATCTTTACCCCAGGTGTGCAAGATCTTCATCTGCAGGCATTGTGTCGCAATGGATTGTCGAAGATGAGCAAGGGGATAGGAATCTGGCTCCCAGGGTCTGCGCAGGGCATTCCTCTACACCCTTTCAGACACTTCTGGCAGGTGAGATCGCATGCCCTGTTCCTGTGCGTGGGTGTACCCTGGGGACCAGTTTGTTGTTTGGATTCTTGGGAGAAGCATGGAGAGCTTTTGCTACCAAAAATTCAGGAGCTTCACCTGAGAAGGCAAATACTTGCCAGTTGTTTGTCGTCTTTGCTCACATGTGTCAGCCTGTAAATTCTATTTTCAGAGTGCAAACTAAACATGCCAGGAGGGAGTGGGAAATCATGTAAACAGCCATCCTGGGGGTACAGTGCCATACTTGTGTTCTGTGGCAAGGAACTGCCTGCGCCGCCTTACCTCTTCCATTCCTTACGGCTTGTGCATGCATAAGCTCCGCAGTCCTGGACCATCGTCCGGCAGCCCTGGCAGAGTCCTCGCTGGGAAGCAGTGCCCTCCTTTTCCTTCTTTCCCAGCCTCCCGACCACCCTCGGCATAGTCATGTCCTGAGTGGAGTCCCCAAGGCCTGGTCCTGAGCACGGTCGCTCTGATCTCTGAAGAGATTTGAGCTTCTCTGTTCCTTTCTTGTCATTTTATCAGGAACGGTCAGGCTGTGACTGCAGTGTGAGGGTGCGTGCGTGGCCAAGCAGGGCCTTATCCGGCCGGATCCCGGGGCTCCCGAAGGAAGGAGCGGTGGGGAGCAAGCAGGAGGCTTCCCTGCGTACCTCCGGGCCGCGCACCAGTGTGCGGGTGGGTTCATCTGTGGTGGCTTTCTCCTCTCTCTTCCTCTGCGCTTTGAAAAACCTGACAGAGGTTTGGGCGAGTGAGGTGTCTGCTCCTGCTGGCATCGCTTTCTCCCAGTGGTGAAGTGCACATTTTTTTTTTCCCCCCCCCCCCCTCCGCAGTGGGTGGTTGATGTGGTGGGAGGGAATGATTCACAGCTTAGCTATAGCCTGAGCCTTTTCTCTATTCCCTAACGATGTGTGAAGAGGAGCGAGTGTCAGCCTTTCTTCAGACAGCCCCTACAGTTGCGGAGTAGCTCCATTTTTCCCCTCTCCAGCTGCGGGTAGCCCGGCGGGGCGAAACGCTAATCCCAGTGCCTGAAATGCTGAGCGGGGAGCGAGGGGAGGAGGGCCGGGAAACCGAGGTGCAGGAAGCCGCGGAGGGAAATGCTTAACAAGCAAATTGTTTGTTTATTTAACACGATAATGGGTGAGCAAGAAAGTCTTTTGAAGGCAACCAGGCAGGCTGATTCCTGCCCGCGTTTTCCGATGTGAGAAAGCTCTTGTCGGGAACGATGATGTCTCTCTCTTCTGCAGAGAAGCCGAGCGCGGCAGTCGGAAGCGGTGTTCAGGGAAAGCCTCTGCTGTACGGAGGGGGAAAAAAAAAAAAATAAAATCATTCTCTGCTCGTAGCATTAGTATTAGAAACCTTGAGCAACCCATGGTTAATGAAACCAGCTTGTCTCATTAGCCACACTTCAAAATTATATTTACAGAGGTTAGCAAAACTAAATATTTTTCTTTGTGGCCGGAGTGGCGTCATGAGAGACCCTGTCTTATACAACCCATTTTTACTGCGTGAATTGCGACACAGCTTTGGCCTTGGTTCCCAAAGTTTCGTATTTAAACGAGGAGGGATTGGATCTTGTTTTGCCCAAGTTGGTTCTAATGTGAAAATTGTGGGCTCTAGATTTAGAGCAGAGCTCAAACGTTTATGGTTCCAGTTAAATTTTCTAAGCTGCAGTTGGAAATTCTTGCAAATACTGCCATGTAGTTTTTGTTCTGTTTGGTTTTGTTTTGTTTCTACTGTTGGTAAACTATTATTTTGTTGGGAGAATAAGAAACTGAGAAGATTCATCCTTAGTCTGACATCTTTATAGGCACAGTATAGACACTTTTTTCTTTAGAGAGCAAGACGTGCCTCTGAAAGAAGCATCGGCATAAGTAGTTCACATGGCCCTCCTATTCCCAGCAGCTGCCCCAGGAGGACACGGGGCATTTTCTGTTGTACCTTCTCGGGCAGCTGTACGAAGGGAATTTTTCTTACATGGATGTAGCATGGCTCGTACTTGGCAAGGATAAAAGTAAGCAGTTAATGTCACCTTATGAATATCTGATCCTTTAGATTCAAACTTGAGCAAGTCGGTGTTCGCTCTAGCGATGCCCCTGAAGTCACTATCAAAGTTGGATCCTGCCGTTATGTGCTGAAATGTGTGTAGGTTTCATCCCGTGCATACCTCTTGTAACAGATGGCATGTTAGAAAATATTCGCCTCGGGCAAAATAATTGTGAAAGAGGTTTGCCGAGGGCTGATCATGGATCTTGAGAAGATACAGTAAGCATTTATGAGGCCCCTTGCCCTGTTAGCACACCAACTGGTGGGCGCCTATCTGATCCCTAAGTATATACCCAGCTTCATGTGTTTTGCAGCACGAGGGCCCTACTGATGTGGTGTGAGCACGTTTCTGCTTTGGATGATGATGTTGAATGCCTAGCCTTGCCTGGGCCCCAGCAAACATCTTACTGGAACTTTACTCTTAGCATTTAACACACACCCTGGCTATTTTTCCTTCTTTCTAATTTGTGAAGCCACCTGCGGTTTCCATGTTAGAAGCTTTTCCAGACAGTCTAGCTCTTCTAGAAATGGTTGTCCTCTTTAGAATACATTACTATGTATTAATACTATTTTTCTGTTTTATGCAGTTTTATAAGAGACTAGCCATGATTGGAATAGTTTCCAGGATTAAGTCATGCAATTAATATTCGTTTTTATCATCATCTTCACATAAGAAAATATGTTTCTTGAAATATCCTGTTTTGGTAGGATTTTTTTTTTTTTTTGGTTGATCCATTTTTAGTTTATAGGCTTATTATTTTATACTGATGTTGGAAAAAGCAGGTTACAAGATACTTCATTTTTAGGAGACCTTGCAAATAGAGAGCTGCTGCTGGTGATTCTAGAAATGAATGTGCAGCCACAACAGCAAAAACGACGGCGCTGATCTTCTCCACACTCTGTTCTGTGCTCATCCAAGCTGTGCTGTTTTATACTGGTACAGTATTACAGGACTCTGCCTGAAAAGAAACGTATTCTGTGTTGGCGTGACAAAGGTGCAAAACCTCAACGCGTGCAAGTGAAGGAAACTTGCAGTATCAGCAGAGCTATGTGGGGTTGAGATAGCTGATGGCTTTGAATGGATTCAGATTCTTCATGTTCTGAAATAAGAATTATACTTTTTATAAAAGAACCTTAGAGTCAGTGAAGTTCCCTCTTAAGCTGTCCTATCCCAGATCCATTATAAATATAACCCTTGTGTGTCTCGCCTGTTAAATTTAGCTTTATGTCCCTCAGCGGCTTAATTTTGCACACTTGCTTCATAAAATGTTTTCCTCTCTGTTATTTCCTGCTCTTCTGTTCTCTGTGGACTTCGAAGGAGGCTGGCTCTATTGGTTATGTTATTTTACTCAAGAAGGAATCCGTTTTCATAGACAATGGAGAAATGGCAATTTAATTAGAATAGCTTCTATGAAGGAGGGATTTCTTGCATGCAACAAGAAATCCCCCATTTTGTATCCTTCATGGTCAAGCAAAGGTGGTTTTCCAGAGTACTGTCAAGTTTAAGAGCTGTATATACAGTTGTATATACAAACATAGTCTGAGACCCTATTGTTACTTGTATTTTAATGTGAGGGACAGCCATTGCAAGTCATTATATCTATGACACAGCCACATGCGCTGTAATTGTTCCAGCTTTAAAATGGATTGTCACCTCATCCCAGAGTATTTTTCAAGCAAATTAATTTAGATTAAACAAACAAAATTTTTATTTTTTTAAATTTCTTGAGTCCCAGGAGAAGTAGTTTGCCTATCTTGTTTTGAATCTCCCTAAGATCTAAGGCAGATCTTGATCCTGTTGCACTCAATGGGGATTCAGGGGATCTAAAGGCTGAGTTCTGTAGAATCGGAGCCCTTGCCAGCTGTGACAGTCCTCTCCTAATTCCCATTTTAAGAGGAGCAAATAGATATTAATGTCTGGTCAATTGATTTTAAACCAGTTGACAAAATGGATTCACTGCTGAGAAGATTTACTCTTGTAAATGCCTCTCTCAAGTAGTGAATTGCATTTCAAGAAACGCTTTTTACCTTCTCTCCTTTACCTACCAGGAGCAGTTCAGAACGGAGGAAGGAGAAATCGAGAGATGCAGCGAGATGCAGGAGAAGCAAAGAAACCGAAGTTTTCTATGAACTGGCACATGAGCTGCCCCTGCCCCACAATATCAGTTCCCACCTGGACAAGGCATCCATAATGCGCCTGGCAATCAGTTTCCTACGCACTCACAAACTTCTATCTTCAGGTAAGATCTGGCTACAAAAAGTTGTCAGTGCTTGTTTATGGCAGCTTGGTAAGACTGTGCATGTTCTTCTTTCTCTGAGTACTGCGTTCTAAAGTAAGAACAGGACACAACTGCTTGGTTTGTGAGAATACAACTAGATTTGAAGATAGGTTGGTGGGGTTTTTTTCATCAGAATTACACATATTTTAATTGGGATAGAAAAATCGGAGTGATGTTGGTCATATAAGGTCTTCATTACCAAAATAAGAACTGGTGCGGTTTTGCCTCTCTGAAAAAACAACTCTCAAAATTCTTGAATGTGGTTTATTAAGCTCAGTTACAAGATTTTAAGCTTTTAAGAGTTTACTCAGAGTTCAAACATACATCTTAAGCTTCCATGCTGAAACAAATAAACTTTGATTTGGCATGGCAAGCGTGTTTGTGCCAGTGCATTCAGAAGGCAGCTGGGAAGTTCTGAAGGTCCAATATTTCATTTGAAAGGACTAATTGTGCTATATGCCGGTAATGAGTAGTAGGTAGATTGTTTATCACAAGGTAGACTAAGAGAGCTAAAGCAAACAACTTTTAAATACTCAATGTGAATGGATTCGATGTAATCAGAATCTTGCTCATGTTGGACTAGTAGGAAATGTGAACCAGCGTCATTTTCATAGCCTGTGAAAACTGATAAAATCAACAATGTTCTTAGTTTGCACCTACATTTGAATAATCACTTTGATGGATATCTGTGGTTTGAGTAGCCTGTGAGATCAATGAAAACGACTGATGTTTCTGGGGAACTTTCACACAGGGACCTGTAAGTGTCAAGAATATGTTAACAAAACAATGCCTGCATTGTTTGTGAAAGGCAGACCCAAAATTTCATCTTTTCCTTCATTAATGGCAAAACTCCCAACAAGGTCACGATTGCACTTCCTCTCTTTAGAAAAGTTGAGTCATGCCATAACAATTACTTTAATAAACGTTATTAGGAAGTATCTCATTTTGTGGAAGAGTATGCTTTTGGTTTGTTGTTGGTTAGTCTGAAAATTCAATTCTGCTTCTGTGTGCTTTGTAATTTTTGTAGCATTTTTAGGCTCTGCTACTATTGTACAAAACGTGGTTATATAGAATGTGGTTTTAAAATTTACTTCTGTGAAAAGTTTATTTGCTGAACAGTGTTTGCAAATCATCCCTGATTTCGTCATGTAATTAATACTTGAAGAAGTTGCGTAGATAGGTAAATGTTCTTAAACATACCGTACACCAAGCTATTTTGTTAGTAACTTTCTCATAAAAACACAGCTTCAGCTTTTCAAATATTTATATGACGTGAACTAGAGACTGGCATAGTGTAGGAAAAGCAAACTTCTGAAGGGCTGTAAGAGATAATATAAATAATGCGTGTGTCTGAAACTTGACATGAAACGATTTGCCGCTGTAATCATCAGAAAAATACACTTGCTTACCTGGAAACTGCTAAGTTTAAAGTTAGATTTTCAAATACATGGACGTTTCTTGGTGAAGAAAATGTACAGATAAAACATTTATTTAGTGCTTCTATTGTGTTAAGGCTTAGGCTCATATAATTTGATAGTGATGAAAACTCAATATATGTATGTAATAGTCATACATGCACATACATGTATGATTTTTCTGTGACAGTGTTTGAAAAGCAGTGTGATTCATGTAGCTGATTTACATTTTCTTGAAGTACCACCAGAATCCAGCAGTTGGAAAGGAATCTGGAAATGAAACGTTACAGAGGTGACAAGCTGTGATTTAATATCTGAGGCTCTCCTCTGTGTTAGTTATTTGCTTAGCCTTAAATCTGATGCACTTCCCCCGTCTAAATATTGACTTGGAGTAAATCTTCTCGTTAAAATTTGTGTTGTTAGTCAAAAGCAGATTTGTCCATCGCTGCATCTTTAGACACTGGAGATGTAGATCAAGGTTTTAAAATCTTTAGCGCTTCTGTTCTGAGGAATTGAACTTAAGGTACTTTAAATGCACCGATTTTCTGGAAGAGTGGAATATTATTTTCTGACAATGAGCACACACTGAAATGAAAGAACTCAAGCCAGAAAGCCACTGTTTGCTTGTAAAGGCCTCGTCTGCTGCTTCTATTCTTCTGAGTATAGCTAACATTTAAATTAGCCAAGCTAAACAAGAAGGCTGAAAATTTAAGCCCTGAATATTTGAAAGATAAAATTTTTCACTCATTGGAATAAAGTGGCGTCAGAGAGAGAACTTTCATTATCGTTTCCAGAAAAATAACTTCAGAGTATTATTTCTTCCTCATGCAATTGCCTGACAGTTTTTGCTTGCTGAGATTCCTGAGGTTCACAGGTGCAGAGTACTGCTCTGGCCAAAGTAAACCTCTGTCAGGTCAAGAACTCTTTCTTGCTCTCAGCAGACAAGGCTGTAAAATTGAATAGGCAATTTCAATGCCTTTGTGGCAGGTGAGCTTTGTTGAAAAAAGAAATATACTGCCTTTCAAGACTGATTAACACCATTGCCGTACGATAGCTGCTTAATACAGCTAATATTTGACAGGGGCTGTTTTTTTGATCTGTTCCTGTAAAAGCAGAATTTAAGTCTCTGATGGTGGGCTTCTGAATAACGTCAGTCTTTATAAGGGCACTGGCTTTCACTAGAAGGCCCTCCAATTTAATTCAAAGCAATAGGGTTTTGATACAGCTTTTGGCTCTCAGATGAAGAAGTGTGCTGCTCATCATGTTTTGACAAGACCGTGGAGCAAACGGGCACTGGGCTTGTGTCATGCCTGTCCACGCTCCGTTCTCGCTTTTGTGCTAAACCCTTTCTGAGCCCCAAGCAAAGCTGCCCCCCGTTTCACACTTACTTTTAGCAGACTGGAATTTGGCCGTTAATTCCGTGTTGCATTTGAGGAGCCTGATTCGACTGATGGGGAGCACGGGGATTACTGTGTCGTCTCTGACAGGTGAACTGGGAAATGGGGAGGTGGAGAACTGCCATGTGCATGAGAAGCAAACGCCTGCCTCAGCCCGTAGACCTCCCCTTTGCTTTATGTTATCTTTGTGGAAATAGTTTTGATTATTTGGGCTAGACACTTAGTGTAAACTGGAGTCAAGTGGGAGTATTCCTTCTGTCATTAATTAGGACATTAAAATAACATTTACTGCATTTATGTATATATACAATGTCAGTAAAATAAGCTTGCAGTGCAGCTTGAAAAATGCTTCAAAAGGCAGTAAAAAAAAAACTACTGCTTGGTTAGCATTTTTGTTATTTATGCTATCAAAAACGACTGGAACACCAGATTTTATTTTATATTTCTGTTTGTGGGCATGATTCTCAGATGGGAGCACATCCCTTCATTTCATGGCAGTTTTGCTGGGAGCAGAGAGAGCAAGGGCCTTCCCAGGACTGCGTCCTCATCTTTCTGCAAGCTGATGCTCCAGATGGGATTTCAGAGGCGGCTGTAGGCAACTTGCCAGCCTCAGTCCGCTGGCATTGAGTGTCTCATGCCCCTTCCTATTATTCCCTGACTTGGAATAGGGCTTTTCACTTGTGTAACTCGGGCTGTTTTACTAGCTGTGTCTGCATAATGATTATTTATCTGTCAGGAAGCCAAGACCTAGGGAAATCTATGCCCACATTCTTCCAGCAGGTGAATGGCAGAGCCCATGAATCTGAGCCCTCATTGAGAGCTCTCCCACTACGTGCCTCCAAAAATCCTGGCTTCTGGGTTGCAGGGTGCATGTCTCCTGCAGGCGTTGCGGGGCCTGAGCTTGGCCCTTGTATCCTATCATAATAGGAAATAGCTGGTTGTATATCTCAGAGTTCAAAAGGGTAAAAAATACTAGGTTTTGCTTTATAAAAGTTGCTGCTTTACTTAGTAACACGTTTCCCTTTGATTTTCACAGTAGGCAGTTCTGTGTGGGAATGTTGGAGAGGAAGCCTTTAACATTTAGAAATGCAGGCTGTTCGTCTGACTGCCTGATTGAGATTAGTATCACAGGAAGCAAACTGAAACAATAGCTTTATAATACTGTTTCCATGTTGTGAGCAGAACAGTACACAGTATAATTGGAATGCTAAGTAGAAATATCATTTAATTACGATCCTCTTAAATATTTTTCAAGATGTCTCGTAATTCTGTTGGCATAATACATTTTTGCCATCATCACATTCAAATGCTTGGGATAAATTTAGAATCAATGTTTGTTCGTTTCAAATAAGGGTTTTGATCCCATAAATTTGCAGCTGAAAATAGATTGATGCTTATCAGTAGTGGAGCTTTTGGATATTGGATCTTAAGTCCTTTAGTATAGTCAGAAAAACTGATAGCAGTACTTGTCCGCTGTTATTCTCTAGTATAGCTAGTAAATTAGCCTAATGCTTTTATTTTGGGGGGGGGGGCGGGGAAGGGGTTAATAGATGACAAAAGAGAAATAACTGTCTCTTGCTAGAGAACGTCTGTCTTGGTTAATAGCTAACATTGCAATAATTGCTAAGGCCACCTCAGACAGTCTCTCTTTACCTGAACATGAGGAAGAGAATCCACTTTAGGAAGCCTGTATGGGCAGTATTGGCACATGATGCCAATAATTTTAAGTATTTATTTGGATCATACTGATGGTAAGGACATTACAGGAACCAGAGCTCTTTGGTACCAGCGAGTTTCGGTGTATCAGGGCTGGAGACTTTTTAGTCAGGCAAACACAGTTTTATCAGCTTTCTTTAATTCCATCCCAATTGTGTGGTCACTGGGTGCCTTTTCTATGCAGAGATCCATCAAAGGAAACTGGACGGGAGTTTCTCTTGTGCAGGCAGACAGCAACAGAAATGGGGAGGGAACAGGGAAGCAGACGGGAAGTTGTTTGGGAGAAGGGAGGCCACGAGGAAGCCAGTGTGAAGTTGTTTCAAGGGAGGGAGACAACAGAGCCGGAAAGCCAGCAGGGAGCAGAAGGGAAAAAATAGCTTTTCTCTAGGCTTTTAAGGGAGATGACAAACTGTAGGGAGAAGTGATGTGGGCATTGTTTTTGAATGTCTGGACAAGCTGC